ATCTCCCCCAGCTATGTTCTGTAAATTGAAACATTCACCAGCTATGTCTGTAAATTAAAACATCTCACAGCACGTTCTGTAAATTAAAAAATAGCACCCGCATGTTCGAATCAAACATTCCCCAGCTATGAACTGTAAATGAAAAAGCTCCCAGATATGAACTGTAAATGAAAACCATTCATAAGCTATGTTCTGTAAAGTGAAACATTCACAGCTATGTTCTCGTAAATTAAAAAACATTAACATGCTATGGTTCTGTAAATTAAACATCTCACCAGCTATGTTCTGTAAATTAAAACATCTCACACCAGCTTTTTTTTTAAATGTTCTGTATTGAACTCTGCATCAACTATGTTTGACCTGCAGTGTCGCTACCTCTCTTGTCATGGCCTCAGCTGTTTGGCCTGGAAACTGCTGTAGACTGTATGACACAAACACACACACCCAGACCACCACCCACCTAAACCCCGCCCACACCATGATGGTTTGTCCACTTGTTGTTTGCAGGAAGATCTCGTTTTGCAAAACCTCGGAGTGGAACTCACTGCCTGGTGCCAGTCGCTTTGACGTCCGACAGGGAGAACTTGGTCCGATGGGCTCAACACTCTAATCTAACTCTCTCTCTCTCTGTCTACAATCAAACATCATTGTAATTATCATATTGATCACCATGTCATTGCCATCAATCATAATCCCTAAGAGTAATTATCAGTACTACAAATTCACAAGCTTTTTAATTTTTGAACAGAACCCTCATTAACTATACTATATCCTTATTACTGACTATACATAGCTTAGTACTCAAAATGAATATCAAACTAGACTTGTTAGGTTGACAGGTAGCAAGCAACACATATATGTCACAGGATTTCTCAAAGTCATCAATGGGAACAAAAACATAAATCCATTTACTCAAATGAAAAAATGTGGTTTGTTTATTAAGCGTGAGGTCAATGGGCAGCCCATTCTACAAGCTTGACGATTAAGTGGTTCAAGAGTTAACTGGCCTCAATATTATATGCCAGTTTTGTTGTTTTTTTTTTTTTTTTTACATTCTTTCATGTGCTTACAATATTATTGATAATGACTGTTCTGACTGGGGTTTGTCAAAACCTTTGTTACTTTGCAAGGAAAATATCACGCAGTAACTCTGGCGGAACCTAAACACAGCCATTTATTACTGTCTTCTAAATACAGGTACATGATGCAGATGATACTTTAACATAAGGACAGCCTCTACACTGTCTCCCATGACAGGTACATGATGGCAGTGATAACTTCAACATGAGACAGCCCTATACTGTCTCACATGACAGGTACATCATGCAGTGATTATACATTACATCAAGCCTCTATTAGACAGCAGGTACTCTATGCACTGTCTCAACATGGACGCGACACTGGTACATCATGCAGTTGATACTTTCACATGAGACAGCCTCTATTACTGTCTCACATGACAGGCACATAAAGCAGTGATTACTTCAAACATGAGAGAGACTCTATACTGTCCTCACATCACAGGTACATCATGCAGTGATACTTCAACATGAGAGAGCCTCTATACATTGTCTCACATGACAGGCCTATCAAGCAGTGATACTTGGCAACGTGAGAGAGCCTTCCCTATACTGTCGTCACATGACAGGGGCACATAAAGCAGTGATACTTCAACATGAGAGAGCTCTCTATACTGTCTCACATGACAGGAATCAGTATAAAGCAGTGATACTTCAACATAAGAGAGCCTCTATACTGGTCTCATACATCACAGGTACATCATGCAATGATAAACTTCAACATAAGAGAGCCTCTATACTGTCCTCACATCACAGGTACAATCATGCAGTGATAGTTGTCAACATAAGAGAGCCTCTTATACTGTCTCACATCTACAGGTACATCATGCAATGATACTTCAACATGAGAGAGCCTCTAGATAACTGTCTAACATGACAGGTACATGATGCTGTAATACTTCAACATGAGAGAGCCTCTGTATACTGTCTTAACATGGACAGGTAATGATGCATGTAATGCTTCAACATGAGAGAGCCTCTATAGTACTGTCTCACATGACAGGTTACATGATTGCAGTGAATACTTCAACATGAGAGAGCCTCTTATTAATGGTCTCACATGATCAGGTTACATCATGCAGTGATAACTTCAACATGAGAGAGCATCACATACTGTCTTCACATGACAGGTACCTCATGCAATGATACTTCAACATGAGAGAGCCTCTATACTGTGCTCAAATGAACAGGACATGATGCATGTAATACTTCAACATGAGAGAGCCTCTTATAGCGGTCTCACATGACAAGTGCACATGATGCAGGATACTTCAACCATGAGAGAGAGCCTCTATAATGTCTCACATGACAGGTACATGGATTGCTGTAATACTTTAACATGAGGAGGAGCCTCTATACTGTCTCACATAAAGGGCACATGATGCAGTGATACTTCACATGATAGAGCCTCTCATAATGTCTCACATGACAGGTACATGATGCTTGTGATACTTCAACATTGGATAGCCTCTATACTGTCTCACATGACAGGAAAACATATGATGCAGTGATACTTCAACATGAGAGAGCCTCTATAATGGTCTCACTATGACAGGTACATGATGCTGTAATACTTTAACATGAGAGAGCCTCTGTACTGTCTTCACATGACAGGCACATGATGCAGGATACTTCACACATGATAGAGCCTCTATACTGTCTTCACATGGCAGGTACATCATGCAATTCGCTTCAACAGAGAGAGCCTCTATACTGTCTTACATAGACAGGTACTGATGCAAGTGATACTTCAACATGAGACAGCTCTCTATACTGTCTCACTGGCGGTACATCATGCAGCGATACTTCAACATGAGAGAGCCTCTATACTGTCCTTACATGACAGGTTACATCATGCAGTGATACTTCACATGAGAGTAGACCTTCTGTACTGTCTCACATGACAGGTACATCATGCCGTGATACTTCAACATGAGACAGCCTCTATACTGTCTCACATGACAGGTACATCATGCAGTGATAGTCTTCAACATAAGAGAGCCTCCATACTGTCTCACATGACAGGTACATGAATTCTTCAGTGATACTGTCAACATGAGACAGGTAAGTGCTGTGATACCTCTATACTGTCTCACATGACAGGTACATCATGCAGTAATCCTTCATCATGAGACAGCCTCTATACTTCTCACTGCCAGATAGCCTCATGCAGTAATATGTCAACATGAGAGAGCCTCTTATACTGTCTCACATGACAGGCACATGATGCAGTGATACTTCAACATGAGAGAGCCTCTATAATGTCTCACATGACAGGTACATGATGCTGTAATACTTTAACATGAGAGAGCCTCTATACTGTCTCACATGACAGGCACATGATGCAGTGATACTTCAACATGATAGAGCCTCTATAATGTCTCACATGACAGGTACATCATGCAATGATACTTCAACATGAGAGAGCCTCTATACTGTCTCACATGACAGGTACATGATGCAGTGATACTTCAACATGAGACAGCCTCTATACTGTCTCACATGACAGGTACATCATGCAGTGATACTTCAACATGAGAGAGCCTCTATACTGTCTTACATGACAGGTACATCATGCAGTGATACTTCAACATGAGAGAGCCTCTATACTGTCTCACATGACAGGTACATCATGCCGTGATACTTCAACATGAGACAGCCTCTATACTGTCTCACATGACAGGTACATGATGCTGTGATACTTCAACATAAGAGAGCCTCCATACTGTCTCACATGACAGGTACATCATGCAGTGATACTTCAACATGAGACAGCCTCTATACTGTCTCACATGACAGGTACATCATGCAGTGATACTTCAACATAAGACAGCCTCTATACTGTCTCACATGACAGGTACATCATGCAGTGATACTTCAACATGAGAGAGCCTCTACACTGTCTCACATGACAGGTACATGATGCAATGATACTTCAACATGAGAGAGCCTCTACACTGTCTCACATGACAGGTACATCATGCAGTGATACTTCAACATAAGAGAGCCTCTATACTGTCTCACATGAGAGGTACATAATGCAGTGATACTTCAACATGAGACAGCCTCTATACTGTCTGACATGACAGGTACATCATGCAGTGATACTTCAACATGAGAGAGCCTCTATACTGTCTCACATGACAGGTACATCATGCAGTGATACTTCAACATGAGAGAGCCTCTATACTGTCTCACATGACAGGCACATGATGCAGTGATACTTCAACATGAGAGAGCCTCTATACTGTCTCACATGACAGGTACATCATGCAATGATACTTCAACATGAGAGAGCCTCTATACTGTCTCACATGACAGGTACATCATGCAGTGATACTTCAACATGAGAGAGCCTCTACACTGTCTCACATGACAGGTACATGATGCAATGATACTTCAACATGAGAGAGCCTCTACACTGTCTCACATGACAGGTACATCATGCAGTGATACTTCAACATAAGAGAGCCTCTATACTGTCTCACATGAGAGGTACATAATGCAGTGATACTTCAACATGAGACAGCCTCTATACTGTCTCACATGACAGGTACATCATGCAGTGCCTGTGCTTCAACATAAGAGAGCCTCTATACTGTCCTCACATGGACAGGTACATCATGCAGTGATACTTCAACATGAGAGAGCCTCTATACTGTCTCACATGACAGGCACATGATGCAGTGATACTTTCAACATGAGAGAGCCTCTATACTGTCTCACATGACAGGTACATCATGCAATGATACTTAAAACATGAGAGAGCCCTCTATACTGTCTCACATGACAGGTACATTCATGCAGTGATACTTCAACATGAGAGAGCCTCTATACTGTCTCACATGACAGGTACATCAATGCAGTGATACTTTAACATGAGACAGCCTCTATACCTTTTTTTTTTCTTCGCCAGCCGTAAAACTCTGGCAAAAAGTTCTGGATGTTTATCTTCCCTTGGGCTACAGTCCTGTTCCAGAACCTTAGTGTTGTTGTGTGCGCATCCATTTTTACAGATCTGACTTATTTTATGCAGACTGCTGGTTCCTATTTCTCTCAGCCGACGAACTACTTTCAAAGGAATCTCCCAATTAGTCGACTTTTAAAACATGCTTTTGGGTAGGCAGTGGGTCTATTCTTGTTTTTTCCTATAAACAGAACCCTGGGACCCACAGAGTACTCTAAACTGACACATCACCAGATAAATCCCACACAGATTAATTCCCCTCTGCTTTAAGAATGAGAGGCTTGTTGACTTATGTGAACCCTGACTTGCCCCAGTCTATCTACTGACATTGACACTGACTCAGCCTTGTGTCTACTGAAGTACAATCTTCCCTGTTTGTCTAACTTACACACACACCCTCTCTATCTCACCCACACATACACACATTTTTTTCTGTATGCTTTTTTTTTGAAGTGTTATATATATGTTGAAATGTTATATATATATATATGTTTACTCCCATCACCATACCTACGTTTGTACCTGTCTTCATGTGATGCCCTCCAGTTGTCTGTTGTTGCCTGCACCTTGTTACTGTCTACCTGAGTTCTCACCTTCTATCAGCCAGTCAATGAAGTAGATATCAGATCATCATAGCCTCTACCAGCCACCAGTAACCTTGACCTCATTCCATCAACTCTATACTAAACTAGATGAACAGTGCATAAATGCCTTTGAATACAAATGTTATAGCCGGGTTCTAAGAATATCATGGGTGAAGAAAGGAACAAATGCATCCATACTTCAAGAACTGAATACTGAAGAATTTTGGCCATTAAAGATGATAAAACACAGAAAATAGAAATGTTTTGGTCACTTGAAACGTCACAAAAGTTTGAAGAGAACAATAATGCCTGGGAAGAAAGGAAGAGGAAGAGGAAGACCAAAGAGAAGATGGGTTCAGGATGTGGGCAGATGCTCTCAAGATGGGTGTATCGGACGCGGAACATCTTGCTTCTGATCAAGAAGTTTTCTGGAGAGTTGTTATGGAATCAAGGTTTTGCAAAGGACATGTTACTGATTGACTGACTGACTGACTGACTGACTGACTGACTGACTGACTGACTGACTGACTGACTGACTACACAGAAACTATCCTTGACTACTGGTGTCTACAGATGTCTTGTCTAAGCTGCTGGTACCAATATGTGTGGCATGATCATGTAGTTGCTGGTCTTATCTGTCCGCCAACTTTTCTGTATGCATACATATGAACATAACTAGATTCCTGTAATTCCCTACATATGTTTTTGTTGTATGTCCTTGTATCTGTGAATAACTTTATACATTTATCATTTTGCAGTATCATATTAATTTATTGAAACTTTTCCATTGCCTGATACACTGAGAAACTCCATCCTGATTTATTTCTCATGCAGCGTAGATCCTTCTGCGTACACTGCTGGATAATCAACCCCGGCATGACGATCTGTCAGCTGTTGACATGTGCTGATCTTCCCTCCGAAAACACCATTCTTTGAACTCAAAATATCTGTGTGAAATAAACAACACACACACACACAATCTGGCAACAAAACAAAGCTATAGTTTAACCTTTCTTGCTCTGAGTAGGGAGAATATAAACAGCCTCTCATTTAATGGAAAACAAGCAGACACTTTAAAAACAAACAGATTGAAGAGTACTTTCCATTTTATATAATGCCAGGTTTTTATTTCTGATTTCTTTTCTGCTTTGTTTAAGTTCAGATGGAATCTTAATCATTCAGAAATGTCGAAGTGGTTTGGTGCAGATGGGTTTTCTTTTTTTCACGTGAGGTGTTTTTAACTGAAGCTCCCCCTTGTCTGCAGATTTCTTTATCACAAACACTGAAACAGTGTGTACATCAAATGTAGAGACATGCTTGACAAACTGAAAGTTTTATTATTTTACAGTTTAATAGTATTTACAGACATTTTTTTTTTACACCTAAGCTGCATGCAGGCTGGCATAGGTTGTCCCTAGCTAGCAAGTTTCTTGTTTGTTTCCTGGTGCCTGCAGCAGACCGGGCATCAGTGACCCTGACTATACAATCTTGTATGTAAATGGATATTTTAACGACAGGGGTGCGGCTTGAATTTGTGGCTCAGTAGTTTTAACTGGTGGCATATATCTTTCTTTGAATTTGTGGCTCAGTAGTTTTAACTGGTAGCATATATCTTTCTTTGAATTCGCCCCCCCCCCCCTCTCTTGCCTGGCACTTTGCCACTCTAATACCTCACCTGGTATGTCCCATACATTTCATTTGCCCTTTTCTCATGGTTATGATAAGTGATTACATAACGTTGCCCTTTGCATCCCAGACTAGTTTCCATGGCGAAGTAGTCAAGCCATTTGCCTTGCTCTCTGAAGGCTGAGGTTTGTTTCATGGCTGCATCATTCTGTTCATGAGTGCAATTTTACGGCGACACCTAGCGATCATCATCAGAGCTGCGGAGTTCGTGCTTTGTGCGATGCTATTGGCAGGTGGTTAGCCTTTCTGCGGAGGGAGACTGAGCCATATGAGATAAAACCCAGTGCAATGTCATTGATCCTTTTCACTTTAACATTCACTTTTTAATTAGTTTAATGTTTCACCAGGTACTCTAACACCTTTTTTTTATAAAGTTTCAACTAGCAAGTATACTGGAAATCACATATCTCTCATGGTGTTCCACATTTCTGACATTGAACAAAGCCACTATTGAAGTCTCTAAAACTAGTATACTCTGAACTTTTCAGGCATGGTTCTCATACTGAAGGCATGGTCCTTAATTTGGCTGGCCTGAAAACCTGCCTGTACCTATTGAATATCCTATTTTAACTTTCTGCCCATCCTGTTTACATTTGCAAGGGACATAATGCTAGTAAGCCTTTTTGTGATAGTTGTGGCAAAGTTTAGCACAATATTTTTTTTGGGGTGGGAGGGTGGGGGTGGGGAGGGGGATGGATACATATTATACTCTTCAGTGTTTTGGATCAAACGGCTCATTTCCAGATTTTCACGCATACTAAATAACAGATATAGACATGGCTTCTTAACCTGTGTGGATTAGTTCTGCCATATATCATTACAGCCTGGTGATTTCTCTTTGTTCAGATTTTGTACTGTCAGAACTGACACTAGTTTCTGTGTTTCCATTGCCATGTTTTGATTTTCCTGGTTCTAGTTTGGTCCTGGCATTTATCATCACCATATTCTTGTCCATGCTTACCTTGGTTCAGTGTACACAAAACACACCATTCTCAAGGCTTTCAGACAGTGGTATGAGAGTCGCACTATGGAAGAGATTGACACCTGACCACCAAATAATATTTCCAAAGTTGGCAGTGGGTACATCGACCACCCTGCAATATAAGAGATGAAACAATTGTTGTGCTCATTATATATCTTTCATGATCAGAAAGTCATAAATGAATGCACCGTAACACCTGTGTAACAATTGCCTAACCTTGTTTGCTGTCTCCAGGTGACTGTTGGCTGCTAGCTGCTGTAGCGTCCTTGACCTGCAATGAGAAGCTCTTCAATTTTGTGGTGGATCCCCACCAGTCCTTCACCAACAACTACTGCGGCATTTTTAAGTTAGTTTCCTTTTTGTTTTGTTGGACATAAAGTCATGTACAGAGCAGGAATACTTACTTATCTAGTCTCTAACTTGACCTTACAGTGTATGAATATTTATCTAGTCTCTGGTTGACTTTACTTTACAAAGCATGAATAATTCTCTAGTCTCCAACTGACTTTAGATTATTTTCTATGGTTTCACCTTACAACTCACAACAGAAGTTCCATATTTCAAACATGCTATTGTCCTGTAGCAGTGGGGCCCCACAGAAAGGAGTCAGACCAGTGACAATTGCTGCAACAAGCACAACTGTCACAGCTATCCCAGCAACCAGAACTGTCACAGCTATCCCAACAAGCAGAACTGTCACAGCTACCCCAACAAGCAGAACTGTCACAGCTATGCCAACAAGCAGAACTGTCACAACTATCCAACAAGCAGAACAATCACAGCTATCCCAACAAGCAGAACTGTCACAGCTATCCAACAAGCAGAACTGTCACAGCTATCCCAACAAGCAGAACTGTCACAGCTATCCAACAAGCAGAACTGTCACAGCTATCCCAACAAGCAGAACTGTCACAGCTATCCAACAAGCAGAACTGTCACAGCTATCCCAACAAGCAGAACTGTCACAGCTATCCCAACAAGCAGAACTGTCACAGCTATCCCAACAAGCAGAACTGTCACAGCTATCCCAACAAGCAGAACTGTCACAGCTATCCAACAAGCAGAACTGTCACAGCTATCCCAACAAGCAGAACTGTCACAGCTATCCAACAAGCAGAACTGTCACAGCTATCCCAACAAGCAGAACTGTCACAGCTATCCCAACAAGCAGAACTGTCACAGCTATCCCAACAAGCAGAACAATCACAGCTATCCCAACAAGCAGAACTGTCACAACTATCCCAACAAGCAGAACTGTCACAGCTATCCAACAAGCAGAACTGTCACAGCTATCCCAACAAGCAGAACTGTCACAGCTATCCAACAAGCAGAACTGTCACAGCTATCCAACAAGCAGAACAATCACAGCTATCCCAACAAGCAAAACTGTCACAGCTATCCAACAAGCAGAACTGTCACAACTATCCCAACAAGCAGAACAGTCACAGCTATCCAACAAGCAGAACAGTCACAGCTATCCAACAAGCAGAACTGTCACAACTATCCCAACAAGCAGAACAGTCACAGCTATCCAACAAGCAGAACTGTCACAGCTATCCCAACAAGCAGAACAATCACAGCTATCCCAACAAGCAGAACAATCACAGCTATCCAACAAGCAGAACAATCACAGCTATCCAACAAGCAGAACAATCACAGCTATCCCAACAAGCAGAACAATCACAGCTATCCAACAAGCAGAACAATCACAGCTATCCAACAAGCAGAACTGTCACAGCTATCCCAACAAGCAGAACTGTCACAGCTATCCCAACAAGCAGAACTGTCACAACTATCCCAACAAGCAGAACAGTCACAGCTATCCAACAAGCAGAACTGTCACAGCTATCCCAACAAGCAGAACTGTCACAGCTATCCAACAAGCAGAACAGTCACAGCTATCCAACAAGCAGAACAATCACAGCTATCCAACAAGCAGAACAATCACAGCTATCCAACAAGCAGAACTGTCACAGCTATCCCAACAAGCAGAACTGTCACAACTATCCCAACAAGCAGAACAGTCACAGCTATCCCAACAAGCAGAACTGTCACAGCTATCCCAACAAGCAGAACAGTCACAGCTATCCCAACAAGCAGAACTGTCACAGCTATCCCAACAAGCAGAACAGTCACAGCTATCCCAACAAGCAGAACTGTCACAGCTATCCAACAAGCAGAACAGTCACAGCTATCCAACAAGCAGAACTGTCACAACTATCCCAACAAGCAGAACAGTCACAGCTATCCAACAAGCAGAACTGTCACAGCTATCCCAACAAGCAGAACAGTCACAGCTATCCCAACAAGCAGAACTGTCACAGCTATCCCAACAAGCAGAACAATCACAGCTATCCCAACAAGCAGAACAGTCACAGCTATCCAACAAGCAGAACAGTCACAGCTATCCAACAAGCAGAACTGTCACAACTATCCCAACAAGCAGAACAGTCACAGCTATCCAACAAGCAGAACTGTCACAGCTATCCCAACAAGCAGAACAATCACAGCTATCCCAACAAGCAGAACAATCACAGCTATCCAACAAGCAGAACAATCACAGCTATTCCAACAAGCAGAACTGTCACAGCTATCCAACAAGCAGAACAGTCACAGCTATCCAACAAGCAGAACAATCACAGCTATCCAACAAGCAGAACAATCACAGCTATCCAACAAGCAGAACTGTCACAGCTATCCCAACAAGCAGAACTGTCACAACTATCCCAACAAGCAGAACAGTCACAGCTATCCCAACAAGCAGAACTGTCACAGCTATCCCAACAAGCAGAACAGTCACAGCTATCCCAACAAGCAGAACTGTCACAGCTATCCCAACAAGCAGAACAATCACAGCTATCCCAACAAGCAGAACTGTCACAGCTATCCCAACAAGCAGAACAGTCACAGCTATATCCCAACAAGCAGAACTGTCACAGCTATCCCAACAAGCAGAACAGTCACAGCTATCCCAACAAGCAGAACTGTCACAGCTATCCCAACAAGCAGAACAATCACAGCTATCCCAACAAGCAGAACTGTCACAGCTATCCCAACCAGCAGAACTGTCACAGCTATCCCAAAAAGTAGAACTGTCACAGCTATCCCAACAAGCAGAACTGTCACAGCTATCCAACAAGCAGAACTGTCACAACTATCCAACAAGCAGAACAGTCACAGCTATCCAACAAGCAGAACAGTCACAGCTATCCAACAAGCAGAACTGTCACAACTATCCCAACAAGCAGAACAGTCACAGCTATCCAACAAGCAGAACTGTCACAGCTATCCCAACAAGCAGAACAATCACAGCTATCCCAACAAGCAGAACAATCACAGCTATCCAACAAGCAGAACAATCACAGCTATCCAACAAGCAGAACTGTCACAACTATCCCAACAAGCAGAACAGTCACAGCTATCCAACAAGCAGAACTGTCACAGCTATCCCAACAAGCAGAACTGTCACAGCTATCCAACAAGCAGAACAGTCACAGCTATCCAACAAGCAGAACAATCACAGCTATCCAACAAGCAGAACAATCACAGCTATCCAACAAGCAGAACTGTCACAGCTATCCCAACAAGCAGAACTGTCACAACTATCCCAACAAGCAGAACAGTCACAGCTATCCCAACAAGCAGAACTGTCACAGCTATCCCAACAAGCAGAACAGTCACAGCTATCCCAACAAGCAGAACTGTCACAGCTATCCCAACAAGCAGAACAATCACAGCTATCCCAACAAGCAGAACTGTCACAGCTATCCCAACAAGCAGAACAGTCACAGCTATCCCAACAAGCAGAACTGTCACAGCTATCCCAACAAGCAGAACAGTCACAGCTATCCCAACAAGCAGAACTGTCACAGCTATCCCAACAAGCAGAACAATCACAGCTATCCCAACAAGCAGAACTGTCACAGCTATCCCAACCAGCAGAACTGTCACAGCTATCCCAAAAAGTAGAACTGTCACAGCTATCCCAACAAGCAGAACAGTCACAGCTATCCCAACAAGCAGAACTGTCACAGCTATCCCAACAAGCAAAACAGTCACAGCTATCCCAACAAGCAGAACTGTCACAGCTATCCCAACCAGCAGAACTGTCACAGCTATCCCAAAAAGTAGAACTGTCACAGCTATCCCAACAAGCAGAACAGTCACAGCTATCCCAACAAGCAGAACAGTCACAGCTATCCCAACAAGCAGAACTGTCACAGCTATCCCAACCAGCAGAACAGTCACAGCTATCCCAACAAGCAGAACTGTCACAGCTATCCCAACAAGCAGAACTGTCACAGCTATCCCAACAAGCAGAACTGTCACAGCTATCCCAGCAAGCAGAATACTTCTTCATGATAAAAAAGTTACACAGTGCTGAAATATGATTTTTGAAAATATATGGAAGCAATTTGACAAGAGAACAAAAGGATTTCTCCAAATAATCAGTGGCATGTCATTAAAGCAAATGCTACCTGATAGACAGATACCTGGGTTCTTTATGGATAGACAAATTGTTCAAACAATGGGTAAGCTTTTTGATGGTGATAAGGATTGCTGACTGAAAGATAAATATTTATCTGTAATCTTTCTGTAGTTTATTTTTTACCTGTCTGCTGTATACCAGGCTGTTTCAGTAAATCTCTGACCTGTCTGCTGTATACCAGGCTGTTTCAGTAAATCTCTTACCTGTCTGCTGTATACTAGGCTGTATACTGGGCTCTGACCTGTCTGCTGTATTGATATTTATTATTTTCATGTTTCTGTGCCATCACCGACAGCTGACTGCGAAGTTTTGTTTGTTAAACCAGGTTCAACTTCTGGCATCAGGGAGAGTGGCAGGAGATTGTCGTGGATGACCGACTGCCTACCTACCGCAACCAGCTGGTCTTCATGCACTCCACGGAGAAAAATGAATTCTGGAGTGCCCTGCTGGAGAAAGCATATGCCAAGTAAGTTGCTTCTCTGTATATTGTCATAATTTTTGTGGCCTCTGTTATCGTTCCCAAGATAAGTGGCCTAATAAAAAAGCTTCCTGTGTGAAGCTTGTGTAATAGCTTCATTACCACTGAAAGTTGTGGTTAGTTGGGAACCCAGTCCCATTGTGGGTTTCAGGGCCCCATTGTGGGTGGGGGGGGGGGGGGGGGGTACAAGAGAATAGACCCACTGCCCCTTAAAAAAGCATGGCATGTGCATCTGCCTGTGAAGTTAGCAACCAACAGTCTGCATGCAAACAAATAAGCCAGATCAGTAAAATGGATGTGAATGCAAAACAAGTCTGGAATAAGACTAAAATTCAGAAGTGGATGAACAACCAGAACTTTCTTCCTAAATTTACAGATCGCAATAAACACAGCGAAGATAAAGAAGAAGAGAATCCAGTCACAGCACTCAAAACATTCCCATAAATGTTCTATCCACATCTTCAGCAGCCAGTGCAGAGTTACAATATTTAGTGTCATTGTACATCTTGTTTCACAAGTTTGCAGTCTAATTACTCTGACATGGTTTCATAATCATCACCACAAGGATTAATATGGGCCTCATACCATCTTCTGAGTATGCCTGAGCAGCATGTTGGAGACTTACTTTATTTTGTGTGTGGCATCAGTGATTCTCAAATTGTTTCAGGCTGATGGGCTCCTATGAATCCCTGAAAGGTGGCAGCACCAGCGAGGCCATGGAGGACTTCACTGGTGGTGTGACTGAGATGTTTGATCTGAAGGAGGCTCCACCAAACTTGTTGAACATCATGCTAAAGGCTTACCAGCGTGGCTCACTGATGGGCTGCAGCATTGACGTAAGTGTCAAACATTTGCCTGCCTTGTTTATATTTAGCCAAAGTCAGATTTGTATTTAAGCAACTACAGAGCAACTTCAGTTTTGTGGCTGAACGATTCTTGTCCTTGTGACAACTGCACCAGTTTAGTTTGTTCCCTCAGATTAGCGTCTCAGATTTGTTGTAATAAAAAAAAAAAAAGTAAAGATCCCTTTTCACGCCTTTTGGCGCATCGGGCATATGGGCAGAGCGTCCCATATTTTTACAGACCATCAGCACTTTGTGGGTAATGTGGTCAGCATTACGCCGGCTGTCTTTACTTTCCCAGGACAGCCCATCCTGGTACCCATTTTAGGCTGGGTCGACCTGCGACGTCCCATACCACTACAAAAATCCACGCAGCCTGCAGTGGGTTTCGATCGCGGTATGCTGGCTCACGAGTCGGACTCGCAACGCCTTAGCCACGGACGCCGCATTTGTTGTAATACTGACACTTAAATAGTTTAGATTTATTCTGCTCCCATTTCTTTTCAATTTCATATATAAATTAATAAAAATGTTAATTTTCCGATGATGTAAGCTAAAAACTCGGAAACTACTGAACTAATTGCTTTCAAATTTGCACACAACGTTGCCTTTGACTCCAAGCGTGATTTTTTGTCAGAAAATCGCACAAACCAAGAATGACATAGCTCCAGCAATGGTCAAATCATTATTTGTTTCGTTGCCGGCCCGGATTTGTTTTTATGTTATCGGCCATATTTGACTGCTGAGCTCGTATTGAACTTTGCTTAATTATTTAATTTCATTTCCACTATTTGCTTGAGTGTTTGGTAGCGTAGTTGTTAACTATTCTGCCTATCATGCAGGTGACCCGCGTTCGATTCCCCGCTAGGTGATAAAATTTTTTTTTTTTTTTTTAGCCCTTAACTGGGCAGCTGGCACGTTGTGTTGTTGTGGTTTATGGCTAGGCTGCGATATCTAGGCCTTTTTCAGTTTTGGGGTTTCCAGCTAGCCTGCAACAGTGGCGACGTGAAGCTCAATGGTCATGTCACGGGTAATCTTCGTTCGCCCTCAAGAGGGCCATTGGTACATTGTGGTTTACAGCTAGGCTGCGATATCTGACCTAAACTCTTTATTCATCTGTAGTAAAGTTGTAAGTATGTCATCCTTCACTCTGTTGACCGGTGTTCGATTCCCAGCTGGGTGATAATTGTTCTTTTTTTCCCTAAAAGGGTGGTTGCCACGTTGTGTTGCCTTTCGCCCAAAGACATCCAATTTCAGTTAAGTCCTAATTAGCCTCTCCGCGACACTTCTCGATCAAAAACTATTCGGCGATGAACGAAACTGTTAACTAAGATGGCTTACAGTCCAGCTTAGTTTGGGTGGACACGGATGACAAGGTCAGGTAAAAATCGTTCCCTCGGAGAGGGAGAGATGACGGATGCGGGGTATTTTTCTCCCCTATTTGTGAGTATAGTGTACTTTTCACTGTGGGTTCCATCACTGGTTACGTGATGTAGTTTTTTTTTTTCCTATGTCCGGGGCAAAATCAAACTAAATAGTCCGTGGCAACAGCATGCGGCGCTAACTCCTCTTTTCTACACCAACCTACACAGACTGTAGTGACAGTTTTTGTTGTTGTTGTGATGGTGGTGGTGGTTGTGGTTGCAGTAGTACTGGTACTGGATGGGTGATGTGGTAGCTGTTACACTGGCTACATTTACTTCTCTGTACAAGTTAATGCTACCTATTTAAGTCTGGGTAGACTTCAATGCAAAGTTCAATTTAGTTACAAATTTTCATTACACAGTGACTTTCTCATCCTTCGAAGAAGATGATATGATTGGGGGAGTGGGGTGGGGCTGAGAGAGCTTAAAATATTATTTTAATGTTCTCATTTCTTAACTATTTCTATTTTAATCATTTCGCCAGGTGATGATTTTTCAATCCTACGGAGAGGGAAATATGATTGGTGGAAAGGGGGAGGGGGGGTGTTATGCCAAACATAGTTAGCTGAGAGAGCTTAAAATATTATTTTGAAGTTCTCATTTCTTAACTATTTCTATTTTAATAATTTTGCCATGGATGATTTTTCAATCCTTTGGAGAGGGAAATATGACTGCGTCGAGGGGAGCCGGGTACAGCTAGTATATAATAAGTTACTAAACACCCATTTCTTTTTCTTCAGAAAGGTTTTAGCTTTGTCATGTTGCAGTAAAAAAATTCTGCTCATAATTAATGCTGTCCGAACCCCAGACAAAAATGGTGTCCTCAAATAGTTGATAAATAAGCATTTGAATGTTATGAAGATATTTACTTTGTGCTGTCAAACATTTTGTTTCAGGCGGTGCCAGGACAAACAGAAGCAGAACTCAGCAATGGCCTCATCTGTGGACATGCTTACAGTGTCACTAGTGTACAACTGGTAGGTTTTTGGCAGAAAGATAGATTTAATTGTCAGCTTACCTGACTACCTCTACTTAAACATCCTGCATACTTAACTACTCCCCTTCCATTCTGTCTGTTCAAGAATCTTGCATACTTAACTACTCCCCTCCCTATCTGTCTGTCTGTTCAAGGATCTTGCATACTTAACTTCTCCCCTCCCTATCTGTCTGTCTGTTCAAGGATCTTGCATACTTAACTACTCCCCTCCCTATCTGTCTGTCTGTTCAAGGATCTTGCATACTTAACTTCTCCCCTCCCTATCTGTCTGTCTGTTCAAGGATCTTGCATACTTAACTTCTCCCCTCCCTATCTGTCTGTTCAAGGATCTTGCATACTTAACTACTCCCCTCCCTATCTGTCTGTCTGTTCAAGGATCTTGCATACTTAACTACTCTCCTCCCTATCTGTCTGTCTGTTCAAGGATCTTGCATACTTAACTACTCTCCTCCCTATCTGTCTGTCTGTTCAAGGATCTTGCATACTTAACTACTCCCCTCCCTATCTGTCTGTCTGTTCAAGGATCTTGCATACTTAACTACTCTCCTCCCTATCTGTCTGTTCAAGGATCTTGCATACTTAACTACTCTCCTCCCTATCTGTCTGTCTGTTCAAGAATCTTGCATACCTAACTACTCCCCTCCCTATCTGTCTGTCTGTTCAAGGATCTTGCATACTTAACTACTCTCCTCCCTATCTGTCTGTCTGTTCAAGGATCTTGCATACTTAACTTCTCCCCTCCCTATCTGTCTCTCTGTTCAAGGATCTTGCATACTTAACTTCTCCCCTCCCTATCTGTCTGTATGTTCAAGGATCTTGCATACTTAACTTCTCCCCTCCCTATCTGTCTGTCTGTTCAAGGATCTTGCATACTTAACTTCTCCCCTCCCTATCTGTCTGTCTGTTCAAGGATCTTGCATACTTAACTTCTCCCCTCCCTATCTGTCTGTTCAAGGATCTTGCATACTTAACTTCTCCCCTCCCTATCTGTCTGTCTGTTCAAGAATCTTGCCTACTTCTATTTGTCTGTGTGTCGTGAGGCTGACATTGTTTGCTTCTGTGTATTCCTCACACTTGAAAATGTGCCTCCTTCTCATGTGTTTGCATATGTACTATAGATTTATCTGTGTGTTGTAGATTTGTCTGTGCTGTGGGTGTACATTTGTGGGTGCAGGTAGACGTGGTTGGTCATTGGTGCACTTCCAGTGTGTGGATGCAAGTAGATGTGGGTGGAAATTGGTGCACTTCTAGTGTGTGGGCGTTGTCATTACATGCACCCATTAATGAAATAGTCATGACTTTTCCATGTCCTTATTTTTGTCTCTGCTTTATTTCACCTCTTAGGCTGATATCAAAACTGCAAGAGTTCAAGGTCAGATCCCTATGGTGAGGATCCGAAACCCGTGGGGTAATGGTTCAGAGTGGAAGGGAGCCTGGAGTGATGGGTAAGCTATAAGTAGCAAGTAGCATAGCTAGTTGTAAGGAAGTTCCCCATGTGAGTTTCGCTGCCCTATTATGGGGAAGATGAGAATGAACCTACTACCTACCAGAAAACATGTTGTATAAGAATCAACTGTTTGGAAGCTTCCTTCAAAGTCGGAGTGTATCTGGAGTCAAGGAACCAACAGTTTTTTTATGATTAAATCAGATCTGTAAAGCTGATGTGCACACAACACAGGTTCTGGAACAGGACCACAGTCCCGAAGTGGACTAACAACTAGAACCTTCTGCTGGAGGTAAGGGTGGTGAAAGCAAAAAAGAAGAGGGATACTGAAGTAAAAACAGGTCCAGTTTTGGGGCACATGTTTAGACATAAATCAGCACTCACTGGATGATGTGATCTATGCTGGTGTTACTTATAAAAACATTTCCTGGTTCCAGTACTTGGCTGTGTGGCCCTGCAAGCTCAGGTCAGTTTTAAAAAAAAACACTAATCTTGATAGAAGATGGAGTCTATGATCAACAGGCAAGAGAGCTAGCCAGTCTGTTAGCCAGTGTGTTAGCCAGTCTGTTAGCCAGTGTGTTAGAACAACTCTGTTGTGATTCAGTAAATGATGAATGAACAGGCAGGTTAACCTGGCATGATATTAGCCACACCCCCTGAGTGCTGATTGGTCTATAAAATATGAGCCCAGCATCATATTCATAGAAATGGTCGCTTACTTTACTAAACAATTAAACAGTAGAGCAGACTGAGTTTGTTATTGAACTAGCAATGTAAACAGTAGAGCAGACTGAGTTTGTTATTGAACTAGCAATGTAAACAGTAGAGCAGACTGGGTTTGTTATTGAACTAGCAATGTAAACAGTAGAGCAGACTGAGTTTGTTATTGAACTAGCAATGTAAATAGTAGAGCAGACTGAGTTTGTTATTGAACTAGCAATGTAAACAGTAGAGCAGACTGAGTTTGTTATTGAACTAGCAATGTAAACAGTAGAGCAGACTGGGTTTGTTATTGAACTAGCAATGTAAACAGTAGAGCAGACTGGGTTTGTTATTGAACTAGCAATGTAAATAGTAGAGCAGACTGGATTTGTTATTGAACTAGCAATGTAAACAGTAGAGCAGACTGGGTTTGTTATTGAACTAGCAATGTAAACAGTAGAGCAGACTGAGTTTGTTATTGAACTAGCAATGTAAACAGTAGAGCAGACTGAGTTTGTTATTGAACTAGCAATGTAAACAGTAGAGCAGACTGAGTTTGTTATTGAACTAGCAATGTAAACAGTAGAGCAGACTGGGTTTGTTATTGAACTAGCAATGTAAACAGTAGAGCAGACTGGGTTTGTTATTGAACTAGCAATGTAAATAGTAGAGCAGACTGGATTTGTTATTGAACTAGCAATGTAAACAGTAGAGCAGACTGGGTTTGTTATTGAACTAGCAATGTAAACAGTAGAGCAGACTGAGTTTGTTATTGAACTAGCAATGTAAACAGTAGAGCAGACTGAGTTTGTTATTGAACTAGCAATGTAAACAGTAGAGCAGACTGGGTTTGTTATTGAACTAGCAATGTAAACAGTAGAGCAGACTGGGTTTGTTATTGAACTAGCAATGTAAACAGTAGAGCAGACTGAGTTTGTTATTGAACTAGCAATGTAAACAGTAGAGCAGACTGAGTTTGTTATTGAACTAGCAATGTAAACAGTAGAGCAGACTGAGTTTGTTATTGAACTAGCAATGTAAACAGTAGAGGCAGACTGGTTTGTTATTGAACTAGCAATGTAAACAGTAGAGCAGACTGGGTTTGTTATTGAACTAGCAATGTAAATAGTAGAGCAGACTGGATTTGTTATTGAACTAGCAGTGTAAACAGTAGAGCAGACTGGGTTTGTTATTGAACTAGCAATGTAAACAGTAGAGCAGACTGGGTTTGTTATTGAACTAGCAATGTAAACAGTAGAGCAGACTGGGTTTGTTATTGAACTAGCAATGTAAACAGTAGAGCAGACTGGGTTTGTTATTGAACTAGCAATGTAAATAGTAGAGCAGACTGGATTTGTTATTGAACTAGCAGTGTAAACAGTAGAGCAGACTGGGTTTGTTATTGAACTAGCAATGTAAACAGTAGAGCAGACTGGGTTTGTTATTGAACTAGCAGTGTAAACAGTAGAGCAGACTGGGTTTGTTATTGAACTAGCAATGTAAACAGTAGAGCAGACTGGGTTTGTTATTGAACTAGCAATGTAAACAGTAGATCAGACTGGGTTTGTTATTCAACTAGCAATGTAAATAGTAGAGCAGACTGGATTTGTTATTGAACTAGCAGTGTAAACAGTAGAGCAGACTGGGTTTGTTATTGAACTAGCAATGTAAACAGTAGAGCAGACTGGGTTTGTTATTGAACTAGCAATGTAAATAGTAGAGCAGACTGGGTTTGTTTTTGAACTAGCAATGTAAATAGTAGAGCAGACTGGGTTTGTTATTGAACTAGCAATGTAAACAGTAGAGCAGACTGGGTTTGTTATTGAACTAGCAATGTAAACAGTAGAGCAGACTGGGTTTGTTATTGAACTAGCAATGTAAACAGCAGAGCAGACAGGCTATTTGATGGAACAGACAAGGAATTCAGTAAAATGTGACTGAAAAGCTAAACGAAAACAGGGATGCAGAAAAACTTGCACAAAACAATGTTTTGGCCAATGGCTTTTCTTGAACAAGTAAGGAACTACAAAGAGATAACAAAGAGGAGAGTATTCAAATCTCTAAGGGTTGACGTGAGCAACTTTAAAAAAAAAATGTTATGTGGATGATTGAAAAAATTTGAAGGCTAAAAAATTAGCTGAAACGTTTACACAATATTTACGCAAATGAGATAAACGACTAAATATACAGTGTCAATGATTAACAATGTTAACAGTTCAGCAGACAGGGAAAATGGTGGAACATGATCAATGATATGACTAACAATACAAGAAAGAGATTGACCAGTCGAGGCAAATGATTGGACAAATAGTGAAAAACACTGAGCGAAAAGTAAGTAATTGAACACACAGTGTAAACTGTTGAATAAACAAAAACAAGATTGATCAAATAAGGTAGACGAGGTTGTGCGATGTGAGGGAAATAACAACGTCAAACAGAATAAATGATTGGACAGATGAATGAGAAATAAGGAGATGATTTTATCCTTGATCAACAAATGTCAGAAATGCAAACTCTTTTCTTGTTTCTTTATTTCATTTTCCACTTTCTCAACAAGTTCTCCTTCACAAACCTCCCAATTGCCAACCTGCAGATGTGCCTACCATGACCGTGATCAAGGCAAAGTCCATGTTGTTGACCTATGCCAGACTTCCTTCCTTCCTTCCTTCCTTCCTTCCTTCCTTCCTTCCTTCCTTCCTTCCTTCCTTCCTTCCTTCCTTCCTTCCTTCCTTCCTTCCTCCTTCCTTCCTTCCTTCCTTCCTTCCTTCCTTCCTTCCTTCCTTCCTTCCTTCCTTCCTTCCTTCCTTCCTTCCTTCCTTCCTTCCTTCCTTCCTTCCTTCCTTCTTCCTTCCTTCCTTCCTTCCTTCCTTCCTTCCTTCCTTCCTTCCTTCCTTCCTTCCTTCCTTCCTTCCTTCCTTCCTTCCTTCCTTCCTTCCTTCCTTCCTTCCTTCCTTCCTTCCTTCCTTCCTTCCTTCCTTCCTTCCTTCCTTCCTTCCTTCTTCCTTCCTTCCTTCCTTCCTTCCTTCCTTCCTTCCTTCCTTCCTTCCTTCCTTCCTTCCTTCCTTCCTTCCTTCCTTCCTTCCTTCCTTCCTTCCTTCCTTCCTTCCTTCCTTCCTTCCTTCCTTCCTTCCTTCCTTCCTTCCTTCCTTCCTTCCTTCCTTCCTTCCTTCCTTCCTTCCTTCCTTCCTTCCTTCCTTCCTTCCTTCCTTCCTTCCTTCCTTCCTTCCTTCCTTCCTTCCTTCCTTCCTTCCTTCCTTCTTCCTTCCTTCCTTCCTTTGTGAAGTTTTTTTTTCTCTCTCTTGGCTGCTACCTGAAGGTTTGACTCCAAGAGATGACAAAATCTCAATCTGGATGGTGAGCTAACAGGGAAAATCTCAGATACCACATTCAGCCTCCAAGGAAGTTATAATTGGGGCACCTGTTACAACAACACCAGCCTGCCATCACCTGCAGTCCTATGTGGGTCAGGATGAGCTCCAAACCAGAAACTCCTGATTGAGATTATTTAAAAATCGGACAGCAGTATAGTTTTTCAACAAGGTTTTCAACAGTTTAGGTCCATGTTTTTTTTCTTTTCTTTTTCAGATCCAAAGAATGGACTTTGTTGTCAGATTCTGAGAAGAAAGAGCTTGGACTCAACTTTGATGATGATGGTGAATTTTGGTGAGTATGATGTTGCAATTTAAATGTTCCAGTTTTGTTGTCCGTTTAAATCTATCCGAAATCGAGGCATAGATTCTGTTTCATTACGAGATGCTGTTTTTTAAGAGAGAGCTAAAAGGTTGAAATGGCTGAAGTATATTGAGAGAATATAAGATGACAGAGAGGTAAAATCTGTATACACAAGGGAGATAAATGGTTGTAGACCATGAGGCAGACCAAGAAGAAGATGGAGAGATAATATCCAGTCAAACCTGCAAACACTTGGTGTCACCAACTGGAAAGAGAAGGCCAACCAGAGTGATGAGTGGAGGTGGGGGATATCTGCAGCAATGAACCTCAAGGGCTCAGTATGCTGACAAAGAAGAAGAATGAGGCTGTATCTGTCCTTGGTAAACAAATGTGTGAGGTATTTTGTCAGAACTTGCCATCCAGCATCAATCAAAGCACTCATGACATGCCCTGATGGGCTCTGTGTCCCTCAGAAGTTGTAGAAGAGTATACATACATATAGTTCCACTGGTCAGTTGGTTGCACATACCTCTGATTGACCCTCTGCCGTGATCCCTCCTGCTAGTGCTGTATTGGATGATTGCAGTCAAAGCCCCATCTAGTCATTGATCTATGCTTCACTGTGTAACAGACAGGCATCAACAGTATCTCATCTCTCTTGCTTAACCTCAGTGTTTCCCATGGAGCTTAAGGCCAGCCAATCAGACCATTGAAATCCACGCACACACTGACATGTCGTGAGCAGCAGAGCTATTTCAACTATAGTATGTGTGATGACTGTGTGCATATCTCTGGTTCCTGCCAGAAATGTCCACACAGAACACTCAGAGCATTGACTGGATCTGTTTTAATGGTTGTCACATGGAATAGGGTTTCAGAAAACCATCTTAGAGCTGCAGCCACTGTCTCCACTGCTGTTTTATAATGCAGACAACACTTAAACTTGTGATGATGCAGATCATTAGTAACAATTAAATGAATGAATGTTTATAAATTGTTCTTGAATTATCAAGCAAAATAATGTAATAAGCAGGACAACTTGGCTGAATCTTTAATTGACTTCTTTGCTTGCTCAGGATGTCCTTCCAAGACTTCAAGAGCAACTTCCACAAGCTGGAGATATGTAACTTGGGTCCTGATTCTCTGGATGAAGATGACCTTCAGAACAAGAAGAAATGGGAAACTTTCAAAGAACATGAGGCTTGGATCAGAAGGGTTAACGCAGGAGGATGTCGTAACTACCTTGGTAACAAGTTCATGTTAGGAGTTATATTTATGATGGTCTGAACATAGATTTTGAGAACAGGCATCTTGCCTATAGGAGCATCAGTAAAATGAGCATCATTTGTCTTTCTCAGATGGCTTAGGCTGTTTTTTGTCTCTGATGGCCTAGGCTGCCTTGTTTCTTTGATGGCCTAGGCTGCCTTGTTTCTTTGATGGCCTAGGCTGCCTTGTGTCTCTGATGGCCTAGGCTGCCTTGTGTCTCTGATGGCCTAGGCTGCCTTGTGTCTCTGATGGCCTAGGCTGCCTTGTTTCTCTGATGGCCTAGGCTGCCTTGTGTCTCTGATGGCCTAGGCTGCCTTGTTTCTCTGATGGCCTAGGCTGCCTTGTGTCTCTGATTTCCTAGGCTGCCTTGTTTCTTTGATGGCCTAGGCTGCCTTGTTTCTCTGATGGCCTAGGCTGCCTTGTGTCTCTGATGGCCTAGGCTGCCTTGTTTCTTTGATGGCCTAGGCTGCCTTGTTTCTTTGATGGCCTAGGCTGCCTTGTTTCTCTGATGGCCTAGGCTGCCTTGTGTCTCTGATGGCCTAGGCTGCCTTGTTTCTCTGATGGCCTAGGCTGCCTTGTGTCTCTGATGGCCTAGGATGCCTTGTTTCTCTGATGGCCTAGGCTGCCTTGTGTCTCTGATTTCCTAGGCTGCCTTGTTTCTTTGATGGCCTAGGCTGCCTTGTTTCTCTGATGGCCTAGGCTGCCTTGTGTCTCTGATGGCCTAGGCTGCCTTGTTTCTTTGATGGCCTAGGCTGCCTTGTTTCTCTGATGGCCTAGGCTGCCTTGTGTCTCTGATGGCCTAGGCTGCCTTGTGTCTCTGATGGCTTAGGCTGCCTTGTTTCTCTGATGGCCTAGGCTGCCTTGTGTCTCTGATGGCCTAGGCTGCCTTGTGTCTCTGATGGCTTAGGCTGCCTTGTTTCTTTGATGGCTTAGGCTGCCTTGTGTCTCTGATGGCCTAGGCTGCCTTGTGTCTCTGATGGCTTAGGCTGCCTTGTTTCTCTGATGGCCTAGGCTGCCTTGTGTCTCTGATTTCCTAGGCTGCCTTGTGTCTCTGATGGCCTAGGCTGCCTTGTTTCTCTGATGGCCTAGGCTGCCTTGTGTATCTGATGGCCTAGGCTGCCTTGTTTCTTTGATGGCCTAGACTGCCTTGTTTCTCTGATGGCCTAGGCTGCCTTGTGTCTCTGCGGATCTTGGTCCTTTGTGTTATGTAATATTTTTGCTGAAGATATTCCTCCATGCCGTCATTTTAAATTATCTGGCATCATTTTTTTTGGTTTGCCTGTTCATCTTTTGCTGCTGATCATAATGTTCTCTAACACCTATTTATTATTACCTCATATTGCAAATTACTGATAGAAAATAATGGACTGTTTGGCAATCACAGATTAGGAAAGCTGGCATTTTAAAAAAACTAAGATGTTACAATAAAATGAATATTAAAAAAAGTTTACCAAGAAAAAAAGAAAACCTAACATTTCACAAAATCTGACCATTAAAGAAAAAGAAAACTGGTTCATGAATAGCGTTATATCATAAAAATGGAATTACTTCTGATCATCTCAGTAGTTTAGATGAAAGATGAGGACAGGTGTAGTTACTGCAAGGAGGACAGGTGTAGTTACTGGAAGGAGGACAGGTGTGGTTACTGGAAGGAGGACAGGTGTAGTTACTTGAAGGAGGACAGGTGTAGGTACTCGAATGAGGACAGGTGTGGTTACTGGAAGGAGGACAGGTGTGTTTACTGGAAGGAGGACAGGTGTAGGTACTGGAAGGAGGACAGGTGTGGTTACTGGAAGGAGGACAGGTGTGTTTACTGGAAGGAGGACAGGTGTGGTTACTGGAAGGAGGACAGGTGTAGGTACTGGAAGGAGGACAGGTGTAGTTACTGGAAGGAGGACAGGTGTGGTTACTGGAAGGAGGACAGGTGTAGTTACTTGAAGGAGGACAGGTGTAGGTACTCGAATGAGGACAGGTGTGGTTACTGGAAGGAGGACAGGTGTAGTTACTGGAAGGAGGACAGGTGTGGTTACTGGAAGGAGGACAGGTGTGGTTACTGGAAGGAGGACAGGTGTAGTTACTGGAATGAGGACAGGTGTAGTTACTGGAAGGAGGACAGGTGTAGGTACTCGAATGAGGACAGGTGTGGTTACTGGAAGGAGGACAGGTGTAGTTACTGGAAGGAGGACAGGTGTAGTTACTGGAAGGAGGACAGGTGTAGTTACTGGAAGGAGGACAGGTGTAGTTACTGGAAGGAGGACAGGTGTGGTTACTGGAAGGAGGACAGGTGTAGTTACTGGAAGGAGGACAGGTGTAGGTACTGGAAGGAGGACAGGTGTGGTTACTGGAAGGAGGACAGGTGTAGTTACTGGAAGGAGGACAGGTGTGGTTACTGGAAGGAGGACAGGTGTAGTTACTGGAAGGAGGACAGGTGTAGTTACTGGAAGGAGGACAGGTGTGGTTACTGGAAGGAGGACAGGTGTAGTTACTGGAAGGAGGATAGGTGTAGTTACTGGAAGGAGGACAGGTGTAGTTACTGAAAGGAGGACAGGTGTGGTTACTGGAAGGAGGACAGGTGTAGTTACTAGAAGGAGGACAGGTGTAGTTACTGGAAGGAGGACAGGTGTAGGTACTGGAAGGAGGACAGGTGTGGTTACTGGAAGGAGGACAGGTGTAGTTACTGGAAGGAGGATAGGTGTAGTTACTGGAAGGAGGACAGGTGTAGTTACTGAAAGGAGGACAGGTATGGTTACTGGAAGGAGGACAGGTGTAGTTACTGGAAGGAGGACAGGTGTAGTTACTGGAAGGAGGACAGGTGTAGGTACTGGAAGGAGGACAGGTGTGGTTACTGGAAGGAGGACAGGTGTAGTTACTGGAAGGAGGACAGGTGTGGTTACTGGAAGGAGGACAGGTGTAGTTACTGGAAGGAGGACAGGTGTAGTTACTGGAAGGAGGACAGGTGTGGTTACTGGAAGGAGGACAGGTGTAGTTACTGGAAGGAGGATAGGTGTAGTTACTGGAAGGAGGACAGGTGTAGTTACTGAAAGGAGGACAGGTGTGGTTACTGGAAGGAGGACAGGTGTAGTTACTGGAAGGAGGACAGGTGTAGTTACTGGAAGGAGGACAGGTGTAGTTACTGGAAGGAGGACAGGTGTGGTTACTGGAAGGAGGACAGGTGTAGTTACTGGAAGGAGGACAGGTGTGGTTACTGGAAGGTGGACAGGTGTAGTTACTGGAAGGAGGACAGGTGTAGTTACTGGAAGGAGGACAGGTGTAGTTACTGGAAGGAGGTCAGGAAAGTGATTAACCAGTATAGTAGTTGACACAGGACATTAACGCTACCCAGGGCTTAAAAGTACAGAAGCGAGAGAACTGGTGGAGAAAATAGAAATTTCTAGTAGGTTTTGCTGAGGAGGATATTCTGCAAAGAACGTGCTACATGATGATGATGATATTTTAACCCATTTGTCATATTATATCCTGAAAACAATGCTTGATGTGTTGGAGTTCCATCTTACTTTGCTCTATTTTTGGGGCCTTGTATTATTTCCCTGAAACTATATTTAGGAAAAAAAATGTTAATTGTTTTATCCCTCAACTATTACTGAGAAATTATAAATTTTATAACATCAAAACTTGGGCAGTAACTTTTGTTTGTAGATAATGTTCACCATCTGCATACTGCTCATTGATTTTTGTCTCAGATAAAAAGCTGCCTTAACTGAGGTGACTGAGTGAAGTCCCCTGTATTTCGTGACATATATTTACAATTATTAGTCTTCTACCAACATTATTTCCTTCAGTGGTGTTTACTCTTTGGCAGACACATTCTGGACGAATCCTCAGTTCCGAATGACCTTGACTGACCCTGATGATGATGATGATGATGACATATGTACCGCCCTGGTTGCCATTCTCCAGAAGGACAGACGCAAGAAGCGGAAGGAAGGGTTAGATCTCCTGACCATTGGTTATGTCATCTATAAGGTGATCTGTCATTATTATTGTCATTATTCTTTCATTCAGATGTTTACAATTACTTTGCTGGATACAGTTTCTTAACTGATATGTGTACCAAAGTTGCCATTTAGTAAATCCTATTATATGGCAGTTTATGTTCACATAAATATTGAGTATAAATGAGTAAGTGAATAGCAAAGCATATTAGCATGTCTGCTACAAAAGGCATTATCTGATTCTTGAGACCACAAGAGAAAACCACAGCTCATTTTTTTCAAAATAAACAAAATGATCTCTTCCATCCATTACTGCCACACTGTTCAAATCAGAGTATCCATGGGCAAATAACTTTGTGGCTCAATATCAAATAATGTTGGACATACGTCCACTACAAGGACAGTCACCTGGGACTAGGAAGCCAAGTGCTTGTTTTGTGGGTCACTAAAGTCCTTCCCAGGTCTGTTTATTTCTTCCTGCTGGTCCCTAAAGGGATGAGTGCAGTGATTGTCTTGAGCTCTCTTCGTGCTCAGGTACATTGACAGATATTTCAACACACAAGCTTAAGTATGAAACAAATGTCAGGAACACCAAACTGTTGACAACTGTATTTTGTTTTCTCCAGCAATGTTCCGCTCAGTCAATGAGTCAGAGATTTATGTCTAGGGTACCAGATACTTCAAAGTACATTCTAATGACTATAATTACTTAGATGGATTTCTCCCCTTTAGCAAATCTCATGACTTGCACTTCAGAACTATCAAACTTGCATTCACAAACCGCACAGCTCAGTAGATGATCATTCCTCCATTTCAAGTTGTCATCTAGGGATAGCCAGTTTTTCTCAGGAAACAAACCAGCAGCACTGGATCTCAGGAGACATTCAACTCAGGCATTCCAAATGCCCCATGATCAGGCTATCACCAGATTGAAAATAAGACTGAGCTTTCTTATTCCCTCCAAGTTTAAATAATATATTTTTGTTCTCATGCACTCAAAAAGTTCTACTCTTGATTTCACTCTTCTCTCATTTGGCACACTTCAGCCAAACTGCACATTTGCCTCAAGTTGGTATCACTTACTCGATTTGTTCACACGTACATTATAATTAGTAATGGATGTCATCCATCCAAATTGTCGCTCATAATTTATATTTAGTAGTTCTAATTTTCATACAATAAGACAATTTACCAAAGGACTCATTACAATGAGACAATTTATCAAAGGACTCATTACAATGAGACAATTTACCAAAGGACTCATTACAATGAGACAATTTACCAAAGGACTCATTACAATGAGACAATTTACCAAAGGACTCATTACAGTGAGACAGTTTACCAAAGGACTCATTACAATGAGACAATTTACCAAAGGACTATTTACAATGAGACAATTTACCAAAGGACTCATTACAATGAGACAATTTACCAAAGGACTCATTACAATGAGACAATTTACCAAAGGACTCATTACAATGAGACAATTTACCAAAGGACTCATTACAATGAGACAATTTACCAAAGGACTCATTACAATGAGACAATTTACCAAAGGACTCATTACAATGAGACAATTTACCAAAGGACTCATTACAATGAGACAATTTACCAAAGGACTCATTACAATGAGACAATTTACCAAAGGACTCATTACAATGAGACAATTTACCAAAGGACTCATTACAGTGAGACAGTTTACCAAAGGACTCATTACAATGAGACAATTTACCAAAGGACTATTTACAATGAGACAATTTACCAAAGGACTATTTACAATGAGACAATTTACTAAAGGACTATTTACAATGAGACAATTTACCAAAGGACTATTTACAATGAGACAATTTACCAAAGGACTCAATACAATGAGACAATTTTCCAAAGGACTCATTACAATGAGACAATTTACCAAAGGACTCAATACAATGAGACAATTTACCAAAGGACTCATTACAATGAGACAATTTACCAAAGGACTCATTACAATGAGACAATTTACCAAAGGACTCATTACAATGAGACAGTTTACCAAAGGACTATTTACAATGAGACAATTTTCCAAAGGACTCATTACAATGAGACAATTTACCAAAGGACTCATTACAATGAGACAGTTTTCCAAATATGGGCCCTGGAACCTCACATTGTAGGTGGGTGATCTTGCCTAGTAGTGTGGGTGATCTTGCCTAGTAGTGTGGGTGATCTTGCCTAGTAGTGTGGGTGATCTTGCCTAGTAGTGTGGGTGATCTTGCCTAGTAGTGTGGGTGATCTTGCCTAGTAGTGTGGGTGATCTTGCCTAGTAATGTGGGTGATCTTGCCTAGTAGTGTGGGTGATCTTGCCTAGTAGTGTGGGTGATCTTGCCTAGTAGTGTGGGTGATCTTGCCTAGTAGTGTGGGTGATCTTGCCTAGTAGTGTGGGTGATCTTGCCTAGTAGTGTGGGTGATCTTGCCTAGTAGTGTGGGGGTGATCTTGCCTAGTAGTGTGGGTAATCTTGCCTAGTAGTGTGGGTGATCTTGCCTAGTAGTGTGGGTGATCTTGCCTAGTAGTGTGGGTGATCTTGCCTAGTAGTGTGGGTGATCTTGCCTAGTAGTGTGGGTGATCTTGCCTAGTAGTGTGGATGATCTTGCCTAGTAGTGTGGGTGATCTTGCCTAGTAATGTGGGTGATCTTGCCTAGTAGTGTGGGTGATCTTGCCTAGTAGTGTGGGTGATCTTGCCTAGTAGTGTGGGTGATCTTGCCTAGTAGTGTGGGTGATCTTGCCTAGTAGTGTGGGTGATCTTGCCTAGTAGTGTGGGTGATCTTGCCTAGTAGTGTGGGTGATCTTGCCTAGTAGTGTGGGTGATCTTGCCTTTCCACAGCTGGTAGTCTCCAGCAGCATGTATCAGTTTGTCTGCTGACAACTTTTCATGCCATGACCCAAGGCTGTTGAGAATTGTCTCCCTTTGTGTTCTCAAGTCTTTCTTTCCTCAATTCTATTCAGTAGTTACAGTGTGTTCCTGTTTCTTGCCTCTCATAAAATGACAATATAATGAAGAATACCTCTTTCTAACATTTGTGACATTTTGTTTGTGGGTCTTTGCCTCCTTCAAAACATCCAGATAACTCATATAGATCAGCATGATGACTCATATAGATCAGCATGACACAATCACCTGGCTTATTTCTATACCTGCAGCTAACAGACCCAAACTGTGGCCCCCTGGACATGAACTTCTTCAAGTTCAATGCCTCCGTGGCCAAGTCACCCACCTTCATCAACATGAGGGAGATCTGTGGCAGACACAAGCTGCCTCCAGGAACCTACGTCATTGTTCCTTCCACATTTGAACCGCACTATGAGGGGGAGTTCTTAGTAAGAATATTTACTGAGAAAGCCAATGTCTCTGGGTAAGGGAGCTGTTTTGACTTTTGTTTTATACAATCTCATCTGTGACTGGTCTGTTGTATCAATAAAATATTGACCTTGACTAGTCGGATTGTTAGCCAAATAATAGCAACATTATCTCTGCTGGTGAGATATTCTGTTTGGTGTTATTTTCTGACTGTTCACCTCTCACTCTCTCTCTCTTTCTCTTTCTCTCTACTCCTCTCTCTCTCTCTCTCTCTCTCTCTCTCTCTCACTCTCTCTGTGACTCTCACTGTATGTGTGTATATGAGTCTGTGTGTGCATGTGTGAGGGTGTGTGTGTGGGTGAGAGAGAGAAAGAGAGAGAAAGAGAGAGAGAGAAAGAGAGAGAGAGAGAGAGAGAGCCTCAATAAGTGTAAAGAGAAGCAGCTATGTTTACTTGTTCCTGGTGTCAAACTGCAAACTGATTGCCAAAGCAGCTTTTATGCTGAGGCAGTTGCAATCATAAAATGACAGAGTGGATTGTAATCATGATCACTTATGTCTGTTCCATAACCAGACACCTGAAGAAGAAGAAGAGAAAGATCACTATAAATAGTATAGTTTACACTGTTGTGTCATTTTACTACTTTCATTCTTTGTAAAAGACATTTTGGACATGTAACAATCATTTTCACTAGTACTTATCAACAAAAGAAGAAAATAATCAAATCAATCAGAAAGCAACCAAAACCGGCAAAAGATGATTACCATTTTATGGACGGACCAGAGCAAGCCATTATTCTACACAGTCAACTCTTTAGCCACATCTAAACATAATTTAAAATTGGTGAATCAGCCATGTGCACATGTGGACTGGCACCTGAGACAACAGATCCCCTCCTCCAAGACTGTCTCGGGTACAAACTTTTTTCCATGAGAAACACCGGTGCAAGCCAAACTTTACAGGTCATTGATTGAATGACAACAGACAGTGAAGTTCATACTAGAGACAACATTGCAGATATATAGATAATCTATTTCAAGCAAACAAAAGAAGAAGAAGAACTAGTAGTTCCAGCAGGGGCAATGTACTCTTCTTGATAATATACCTAAACAGATTGAACAAAACATAATTGACGGGCATTATTTGATTTCAAGACACCATTGCTTCAGTAAGAATCTTTAGAGGCATATGCCTTGTTTGAGCCAGATGGGTGGATTTTTAGTTTCAGTGGGAATTATCAGATAAATACACCTTGATTAAATAAAATATGTGGATTATCCACCAGCACCCATTCATGTTTTCATACTCTGCTTTCACAGCGAGATCGATGAACGAACTGGCCTGGATGAGGATGCTGTAAGTTTTTCCAACTATTTTTTTACAATAGTCACTTCTGCCACTTCTTATATGTGCCTTTTTTATTACCGCAATTCTTTTTAAAATTTGCTTCATTTATTTTATTGCTGTTCTGTGTAGTTAGATACCGTTGTAACTGACCATGGCTATTTGTAGAATTTACACCCATTATCATTCTAAAAGAGAGTTGCCATGTATTTGTGGTGTCACAAGGTTAGAATTTGGACTAGCTTGTAAGACCGCCCCCACCCCACCCATTATCGTTGTAAAAGAGTTGCCATGTATTTGTGGTGTCACAAGGTTAGAGTTTAGACTAGCTTGTAAGACAGCCCCCCTCCCCACCCCACCCATTATCGTTGTAAAAGAGTTGCCATGTATTTGTGGTGTCACAAGGTTAGAGTTTAGACTAGCTTGTAAGACAGCCCCCCTCCCCACCCCACCCATTATCATTGTAAAAAAAAAAAAAGAGTTGCCATGTATTTGTGGTGTCACAAGGTTAGAGTTTGGACGAGCTTGTAAGACAGCCCCCCCCCCCCCCCCCCCACTCATTATCGTTGTAAAACAGTTGCCTTGTATTTGTGGTGTCACAAGGTTAGAGTTTAGACTAGCTTGTAAGACAGCCCCCACCCCACCCATTATCGTTGTAAAAAAAAAAAAAAGAGTTGCCATGTATTTGTGGTGTAACAAGGTTAGAGTTTGGACTAGCTTGTAAGACCGCCCCCCCCCCCCCACCCCACTCATTATCGTTGTAAAAGAGTTGCCATGTATTTGTGGTGTCAAGCTTAGAGTTTGGACTAGCTTGTAAGACAGCCCCCCCAAAAAAAATTACCAAAATGTGAACCATCTAACTGTGAAATATCTCTAGCATTACCCAAGATTCATCTAAATATTGAAACTTTAAGTGGCTTATCTTACAATCAGTTTTGTTTTACCACTCCAATGAGTATCTTCTGCTGTGCAGCATTACCAGGAAATTCACAGCAAAGTTTAAACTTTAAAAACATGGCTTCACAGTAATTGTATGATGGCTGTTTCTGTCCCTCCCTCCAACCCCCACAACCTTGTTGAATAATCAATGTTCCAACTTGTGTGGATAGCTCTTTTACTTTAGGAAGCAGAAACTCTGAACTGATTACCATCTATACTTTGCTACTTATGTTTCTTACTTTGTAAGAAGAAGAGCTATGCTAACCCAAAAGACTTAGTTTAACACAGTAGAAAAACATGTCTTAGCTAACAACATATGACATTTCAATGAAAACACCACTATCTAATATGTTTAAAACAAACAAGTTGCTCAAGGGAAGTTTTCTTGTTTATCGTGGTAGTAGTCTGGGGTGTGTTGCCCAGCAAGGGCAGGATTCTTTTCTTCCTGTCAGAAGAGCTCTGCAATCAAATTCATCAGTAACTATAGGATAAACTGTGCTTCAAAGAACATGGGGGGGGGGGGGGGGGGGAGGAGAGTTAGTCAAAGAAGAGGAGGGCAAAGAACAACCTGGAATGACAACATCAAGAAATGGAAAAGGACTAAGTTATCATACACTTATTCATCAAGCGGGAGACCGAGAAAGATGGCAGGTTTTATGCACTAGTGCTTCCATCAGTACAGCTTCATGACCCTAACGAGTCAAGGGTTGTGTTATGTTATGTTATACTATGTTATGTTATGTTATAGGATAGTTTTCAGGACTGTCTAGAAAAGAAGGGCGGTGAGGATAAGAACTGGTCACCTCACCTGATCATGCTGTGACTAAGAATATGTGAAGACCTGACACTTCAAACCCCAGCGGTAGAGTAAATGTCATGGATCTAGCTGTATCTTCACAGAAACAAAAACAACAACAAAATCAATAAAGGATCCTGTTTTCAGTCTGTCATGCATGGCATATCAGTTTTTCAAAACCAGATCAACAGGATTCTATTTTTGGGACCAAACAGCACTTGAGGCAACATTTCCTGGAGCCAGGAACCTTAGTGAACAACAGAAGAATACTTGGTCACTCAGTCTCAATGAGCAGTCAGGAATGAAGTGGTGGAGATGTTCGCACAATGGAATATGGTTTAGGAGATATAAGTTGGAATATACTGGGCAGAGAAGACAACAAATATGAAGATATTGACAACTGCAGATATTGCTAACATCATCATTATATGGTGGTGGCCGTGGTTTACTATCTCATCTGAAGTTGGGTTGTATTGTAATATATGTCCACAATCATCTGTACAGAATCAAAATACATTCCTGTTTCTTAGTTCAGAAGAGCTGTTTAATATTTTTGCTGATTTGTTGATTTTTTTACTGGCTGTTATATTCCATTTTCTGTTTATTGGCTTTTAGTGTTCTTAATTGTTCAATGCTGCCTAACTGACAAGTACTTAGACATGCACACATTTCAATGTTTGAAGCACTTGGTTCTCATATAGTTATTTTCCTTGTCACATTAAGTAATAATAATTGCTGTTTTGTTTTTTTAGTTGTATCATTTTGTTATTGATTAGACTTGAAATTAATACCTAAATTATTTACCCCATGATGTTTTCAATGCACTTTCTCTCCATTGTTGTGTATCTTTACCTTGGTTCGTTATTTAGTTCAAGACTCCAACACCTGTACCTCGAGGACTACCAGTAAGTTACACATTTGCTTGTCCTTTTATTTCTGCGGTTTTCTTTAAACTCAACATTATCAGCGATGCATGCAGATTTATTATTCTGTGCATGTGGTTTTTTTTTTGTTTCTCTCAGAAGCCTTGTGGACAATATCTTGGGCTGATGTTTTCAAGCTTGCATGATGAAATAACTTCTATTAAACTTTTTGTTTTATTTTTACCCTGGTTATACATTTCAAAACCCTCATTTAATTATTTGTCAATATAATTGTTACAACTGTTCAAAATACCCTGAATTTTAAAAGGGAGCAAAATCTAATGAGAATAATAACTCACAAATATCTTTTCTAAAGAGTTAATTCTTATTCAAAGCATATTTATTCCAACTCTGTGCTACCAGTGCCAGACATGGTCACTCACAACAAACCATAAAAGAAAATTAGTAATCACGGAAATGAGATGTCTGAGAAGGGCTGTAGGAGTGACCATAAGAGATAAGATCAGGAATGAGATCATAAGAGAACAAGTCGGCACAGAACCAATTCTGGATTACATACAAAGACAGCAAGTGAAATGGTTTGCCCACTTAGAGAGAATGCCTTGTGATACCATACAAAGCATACATGGAAAGAGAAGAAGGACGTAGAGCACGGGGTAGACCAAGAACAAGATGGAAGGATAACATCAGAGAAACTCTACAACAGCACGATGTGCCTATGGTCGAGGCAGCCAGAAGAGCTAGAAACAGAACCTTATATCTCCCTCGACACCCACAGCGGTAAAAGAGAAAGTGAAGAAGAAGAAGAAGAAAGAGTTAATTCCTTCATTCTGCATGAAAATATAATTGTTTCATAGATTACCATTTACTATTTCATGTTTTAGATTATTAACAAAGGCATTCAAATAAGATCAAAGAGATGTCAGAAATAGGAACAATTGAAGGCTCAAGGCAGACTTGTTTGTGCTTCGCAAATAATAATTCCATTTTCCAAGTGGGATTCTAGCTATCTAGGGCAGCATTTAAGACATCTCTAAATGGTCTTTTAAGCAAGTTGGAAAACGACTAATCAGGAACCAGTCTCGCCATGCCACGGTAACAGAGTATAACTGGCCAGCGTCAATGGCAAATCTAGTTGGTCATTTAAACAAGTTGAGGTGTAATTAGAGGGAGGTAGGTTAAAACAATAATTTATTAAGAAGAAAAGCTCAGTGACAAAAGTGAGAGAAGATGACAGGAAGAAAAGTTTGAAGATATTCTTGACCTGGGAAAGTAGAAAAAACAAAACAGATTAGAGAAATTCATAGAGATAGAACAGTATGAGCTGAGAAATGAGTGCCAAGGTTACTGTGCCAGTGAGTGTCAAGGTTACTGTGCCAATGAGTGTCAGGGTTACTGTGCCAATGAGTGTCAAGGTTACTGTGCCAATGAGTGTCAAGGTTACTGTGCATGGAAACGGATGGTGACTGGTGTACTGATATGTAATAACCTCTACCTGATATTTTTGTGGTTTACATTGTCATGCATATTACACTTTGTCATGTTATCATTGCTCACTAATTCATGTCTTTATTCTTCTTTTTTTGCCATCTCAATGATACCAGTTTGTAGCCCCATGTCATCATTTTTTCTATTTGCCATCTCAATGATACCAGTTTGTAGCCCCATGTCATCATTTTTTCTATTTGCCATCTCAATGATACCAGTTTGTAGCCCCATGTCATCAGTTTTTCTATTTGCCATCTCAATGATACCAGTTTGTAGCCCCATGTCATCATTTTTTCTATTTGTCATCTCAATGATACCAGTTTGTAGCCGCATGTCATCATTTTTTCTATTTGTCATCTCAATGATACCAGTTTGTAGCCGCATGTCATCATTTTTTCTATTTGCCATCTCAATGATACCAGTTTGTAGCCCCATGTCATCATTTTTTCTATTTGTCATCTCAATGATACCAGTTTGTAGCCGCATGTCATCAGTTTTTCTATTTGCCATCTCAATGATACCAGTTTGTAGCCCCATGTCATCATTTTTTCTATTTGTCATCTCAATGATACCAGTTTGTAGCCGCATGTCATCATTTTTTCTATTTGTCATCTCAATGATACCAGTTTGTAGCCGCATGTCATCAGTTTTTCTATTTGCCATCTCAATGATACCAGTTTGTAGCCGCATGTCATCATTTTTTCTATTTGTCATCTCAATGATACCAGTTTGTAGCCGCATGTCATCAGTTTTTCTATTTGCCATCTCAATGATACCAGTTTGTAGCCCCATGTCATCATTTTTTCTATTTGTCATCTCAATGATACCAGTTTGTAGCCGCATGTCATCATTTTTTCTATTTGTCATCTCAATGATACCAGTTTGTAGCCGCATGTCATCAGTTTTTCTATTTGCCATCTCAATGATACCAGTTTGTAGCCCCATGTCATCATTTTTTCTATTTGTCATCTCAATGATACCAGTTTGTAGCCGCATGTCATCATTTTTTCTATTTGCCATCTCAATGATACCAGTTTGTAGCCGCATGTCATCATTTTTTCTATTTGTCTTGCGCTTCGTGGGTGGCTTGGGTGATGGATCTGTTTATATTGATGTAGGTTTCAGCTTGATTATCTTTATGAAATCAAAGATTTGATGTCAAATTTCTGTCTTCCTGGCTATCTAGTATTCTTCGCCATATTTTTATAGATCTCCCGATTTTTCTCGTTCTCTGTAGTGCAAATCTAGGACCTGTGTGGTTATGTTTGTGCATGTAAATAAGATGTGAAAAAGATAGACTGACAACAAACACACCACATCAGACACAAATCTAGCACTTCATCGGTCAGATTATTAGTGGTGACTACAGTCTGGCTGTATGAACTACATCACTAGTTAACACAACTGCATGTTTTCTGGTTTGTTGGCTGTGGTTTCAGTTACTGGTTTTATGATTACTTTGATTGTACATGGATAACTTTATAAGTGCTCAGTCTCTTTCTGTAAGGCATAGTGTAAACATCTTAGCTCAGGGCATCAACACAATAGCACCAGACAGTACCACTGTAGTGTATGTGTGTGTATACCTGAATCACACATGCTGTCCATATTCTTGTTATGGATAGCTTTCATCATTTTGAGATGTTGCTTGACCTTGAACCTGTCTGAC